GCAAATGGTGTTATGTTGTCAGTTTTTATGGCAGAGTAGTATTCCATTGCATAAATATACCACAGCTTCTTTATCCAGTCATCGCTTGATGGACATTTAGGCTGTTAATGTGGGAGTAACAGGTTTTGCAGCTCTCTGTGTCCTAACTGGAAACAGAAGTCTCTAGGAATCAATATATTTTTAAGGCTCCTCAGATATTTCTAATGAACAAAAGGACTGATGAACACTTCTAGGGAAAAGGATTTCTTAGGAAATAAATCTGATTTATAGAACTGCTGTTAGTGTGTCACTGGAATTTAAAAACCAGGTCCTAATATAGTCTGCTACTATCTTCAAAATGGAACAAAGATTTAGAATAGAGGTTTACCTGCTTACCTCAGCCAATTATGAAACTTCTCTGGTGTTTGACTGCAAATTCTGCCTTCAGTGCAGCAGGACTGGCTGAATTATTATCAGAAGGGGAGATACCTACCTAGTGGTTTTCACATAGAGGCTCGGGGGCTGTAGCCTGATTTCCAGGGATCGTTTGCCTCCTGAAATTCTGGCTCACCTCCAGCTCCAGTCAGGAGCCTCCGCTGCTCTGGACAAGAAAGGCCCTTGGCAATCAGGAGGAGAATCTAGGATCGAGTCTCTTTCTTAGTGTACGTGTCTCCCTGTTGGCAGAATCGCATCGCCAAGCGCAGCAGGAAGCTAGTGGACTACGACAGCGCCCGCCACCACCTGGAGGCTTTGCAGAGCTCCAAGAGGAAGGATGAGAGCCGCATCTCTAAGGTAGGGCCCCTCCCACTGTAGTCCCCACTCTCCGTGTTCTGGGACCAGCAGCGACTTTGCTTTTTACAATGAAGTCTTTCCTTTTTCACGGACATTGGAATCAGGACGGAATTTAAACTGAAACATGGTGCTCATGGGCTGCTTTCCATAATTTTTAAGTAACAGTAAGGGTTTTCAGGTCATTGCAGAGTTCATGTGGGGAACACTGACTCACTCATTTTAATCGTCACAAACTTTCGACCCCAGCAATACTGCCTGATCAAAGAAAATACGAAGTCTGCCCACACTCTTCCCACGGTTGGGGGTCCTACTTGATGCCAAAATGCAGATTCAGCTAGAAAATCAAGTTTGAAATTCTCCGACACAACTTGTGATAGAGAATGCAGTTATGTGCTACAAATTTCATATCATTTATTTTCTTTTAGAAAACCCATTTCAGGAGCTTTTTTTTTTTAGCCATGTGTGTCAGTCATTTACTGACAACTCACTGAAGACACCTGCTAACAGTCTGCTTTGTTTCTAGTCTTATCTCCTCCCGTCTCCCTACACACAACTGCCTGAGTGGCCTTCCAGATGGAGTTTCTCCACGACTCTGGTCTTTTACTGGCTCCCATTGCCTGTAGAAAGAAACTCTCAATTCCTTTGCCTGGCGTGTGCGGCCTTCGCAGTTTGGTTACGACTCACCCTCCATCCTTGTCAACCCTCAAGTTCTCTTTCCCCTCCTGTCCTTCCTCCACACACACATCCTAAGCTAGAGCCTCCCTGACCTACACACCAGTCCCTGAGCAGCCACGATGAGGGGTCCCCTCTGCACGACTCCCAGAGAGGCTAGGCACCATGTTCACCACTTCCCTTACATCGTCTTTCCTTAATACTCCCCACACCTGTGAGGGGGGCAGTGCTCTGTCCATTTTGTGGGTGAGGTATCTGAGTTGCAGAACGGTGAAGCAACCTGACAAGTCCGCATGGTCAGTGAGCTGGAATTCAACCCAAGGAGCCTTTACGTACTGCAGTCCTTTCCTCACCATCTTCTTTAGCCAACAATGTTTGCTAACTCTTCAAGACTCAGTGTCAAGTTAAAATATCTCCCTTCCCTTTGGAACCTTCTCTGTTCTCTGTGCGTCTCCCCCAGTAGCATGCTCCATGGCAGCTTATCAGCTCTCTCCTGTGGTGTAATTATTTGGACTTCCCACCAGATGGGGAGTTTCTTGGGGAAGCATCCACGTCCAGTATCCCAGTCAGAGCTGTGCATGTGACAGGCCGTTAATGCATCTTTGTAGAATGAATGAATCCGCCAGAGACT